TTCTCATCCACGTGGCCAGTTATTTCCAGCCTTGGCCATAGGGTCTCGGGTTAGGGTACCTTTGCAAACATCCTTGAGTTTCTACAGTGAGAACATAAGCTTTCTAACAAAAATTTGTTTTGTCTTGTTTTTTCATCCAGGTGGATCCAACCGAAGAGAAAGGGGTGCCCCACCCCTTCCCCCCATCCCAAGGTGATCCTTGCCTGCTCTTCTCCATCCACGCCCAAGAGCTACTTCTGTGGTTGCTATCAAGAGTCGCACACTCTCCTCCCCTTGTCTTCCCTTGTCCCCTTCATATTGGGAGTAGGGAGGGAGGGAGGGTGCCGTGGGAATATGTGTGTGCAGGGTGGGAATCCGATAAAGAAACGCACCTAGATTTTTATTCTGTGTATATTCTCAAAGTTATTGCTTGCTTCAGCTACAGCCCACCAGTGTTGACTGCTTGGGGTTGACTGGCTTTTATGGCAGGTGGCAGAGATGAACTTTGTCCCAGCTTTCAACCAACCAAACTCAAACATTCACTGCATATTTGCTACAGATGATATTAAAGTCCCTGAGAGCTGCTTGCTCCATGCCTTTTTTGCGTGCTTGGTCTCCTATCTGATTCCATGAACCACAGACCACCTAAGCAAGTTGCTGAGCGAGGGCTCACATGAAATTTTTGTGGTCACAGATTATAATCTTTGGCAGTCTGAGGTAGGCTCTAGGACAGAGCTGTCCAATAGAAATATAGTGTGAGCCATGTATGCAATTTAAATATTTCTAGTAGCCACATTAAAAATGAAAAAGAAATAGGCAAAATTAATTTTAATATATTTTTATCCAAAATATCATTTTGACTAGCAATTAAAATAACAATTAATTATGAGATATTTTTCTCTTTTTTTTCTTTTTTTTTTTATACTAAGTCTTCAAAATCTGGTTTTGTGTTTTACACTTAAAGCACATCTCTATCTGGACAAGTCACATTTCAAGGGCTCAGTGGCCACATGTGGCTGGTGGCTACCATACTGGACAGTGCAGGTCTAGAAGACAGAGGCCGGTGCAAAAATCTCTTGTTTAAAAAACAAAAAAAATGCATGATGAGCTTTAGCAATTCAAGAGGTAACTAAAAATAAAGTTAGGACCCAATGCCTTGTCTGGCAGACAGCTTGACCTTAGATTTTGCTCCCTTACTTTCCCTCTTCCCTTAATCTCTGTATACAAGTGTTATTTTACAGCACCAAGCTCCGAAATTGCTCTAATAGGGTTCACAGTCCCGTGGAATTTAAAGCCATTGCAAAGAAACTGAACTCCTGTTGGGGCTTCCTGGCTCAGAGCCAGCTGGCCGAGCTCAACTTGACTTCTGGACTTGTGCCTTGTCAGCCGGACTTCTGCCTTGCGCATTGGAGGTGGCCTTCCAGCTTGCTCCTCAGGGCGGGGAGGCTTGTCGGCTCAGTCGTGGGAGGGAGGGCAAGTCGGGAAGGTAGCAAATCAGAACTCAGAAGAAGGGATCAGATTTGGGTTAATGGGAAAAACTCTAAAAATCTAAATCTGATGCTTATGGGTTTGAGAGAAAGACATTGCTACTGGACATTGGAGGGAATTTGTTTTGAAACTACCCAGGAGAATCATTTGCCTTGGATCTATGCAAATAAAGCTCATGAAAGGACCACAGGGGAGAGCCAGCCTTGCCTTTTTTTGTATGATTTTGTTTACAGACTTTACTGGGACTTTTAAATCTAGCAATAGAGTTGGGGGAAAAATTCCATTTAGATATTTTATACAGTTGATTATGTTTGAAATGACCATTACTTATTTTTTAAAAGCACATGGTTACAAATGTGTATGTATATCTACCTAAACTTTGCATCACAGTTTCAGTGTATTGTTCATGTATTACTGGGAGATGCTAACAAGAAATCAATCCAAAGAAAATTTTTAAAGCATTCCTATTTATAGAAGAAATCATTGTTTCACTTATACAAAAGCAAAAGAACTTAGAGTTCTAATAAATGGTATGTCTAATAAATTGTGATTTTGCCCATTTGAATATATTGTATTTTTATAACTTTTCTTGCCAAAGTCCTGGGCTTAGTACATTAGAGAACTTGGGGTCCCCCCTCCTCTACCATTCATTTGTCTTTCAGGCACTTGGGGTCCTCTACCCAAAGAATCAAGAAATATAAAGGTATAGCAAGCTTGGCAAAGTATTTTCCAAAAAAAATTTTATTGCTCATATTTTGGTAATATAGCAGCATCGTATTATTTGAGATTCTTTGATCAGCTATCATTCCTTAATTGACAGTTGATTAAAAGTTCTATGAGAAAGCCTAAGACCCACTTCAGAAAAGAGGCCTTGCTAACAAATAGGGCAGAAAAAGTCTGACCCAAAAAAGGGGGTCTGAATTTTGTACGGGGAAGTAAGAATGGCCATTTTCCTTGTATATCCCAACTTTGCAGGTACCATCCTAAAGTCTGAAACAGGGTCACAACTCAAAGTTGCTATTCACCCAGGACAGAGATGTTTTAGAATGTGTTTTTGAAGTGAATGTTTCATTAATACACTCTTGCTTTGAAAGTTAGCAACCTAATTGCATCCAACATTTTGAGTAAGTTCTATGCTAAAATTTTCAACTATGGTAAATCACAAAAATTGAATAATTTTCTTCCCTGAAATCAGAGCTTACTTACTATGTGTGGTTTTTTTCACATAAAATTTCCAGGTAAATGTATTCAAGATGCAATACAGCATTTTAACATTCACATATCATTTTGTATTGAAATGTATTACAGTATTAAAATTCAGTGTTCAGTATTTATTTCACTATGCATTTTATTTAGTAAAAGCTGAGAAAAATGTTTAATCCAATGGTGCCTTACTTTGTGATTTAAAAGAAATTGACTTTTTATGTCTAAGTAGCAGATTATTTGCATATTTGTAAAAACTGTTAGGCCTTTATATTTTAACTTGTAATACCAATTTTGTTATCTTAGTAACCCAAATGGGATGATTGTTAAAGTGCCCAAAAATTTTTGGCATGATATTAATTTTCCCTGTTTATAGTCAGGGACTATAAAGGTAGGAAAGAAAAAAAAAATGTTTTTCATACCACTGCACTATGTAAACATGCACATTTTGATATCTATGTCATCAGGACAGTTTAAATGGTGGGACAGAGTCTATCCAAGACATCTGTGTCTTTGTAAGTCAGCCAGACAATAAATAAAAGCAGAATGATATGTGTGTCAACTGGTGGTTTTTATTAAGTATTGTCTATGTAAATGTAAACAAAAAAGGAAGTGCCTGTTTTCTACTCTGGTAAAGAAAGACTTTCTCAAAAAGAAGAAGGGGAAAAGGTCTCTATAAATAAGTAAATGTCCATCATATCCACCTTGTGTGCTTTTCCTGGGAACCCGTCTCTTCAGCAAAATCTCTTGTCTGTTTATTTGAGGCAGATGCTTCTACTCAAAGGTAAAGATGGATGGTAGGCCCTGGCCGGTTGCTCAGTGGTTAGAGGCTCGACCCGTGGACTGAAGGGTCCCAGGTTCAACTCCAGCCAAGGGGCACGTACCTTGGTTGCAGGCTCAGTCCTGGCCCCAGTCGGGTCGCATGCAGGAGGCAATGAGTCGATGTGTCTCTGTCATATTGATGTTTCCCTCTCTCTCTCCCTTCCATTCTCTCTGAAAAGCAATGGAAAAAATATCCTCAGGTGGGGATTTAAAAAAAAGAAAAAAAAGATGGATGGTGGAAGCAATGGAAGATGAAATTACAAAGACCAGTAGTGACACTGATAAATATAAAAAAGGCCACTGGGAATTTAGGAGGCCTAGTCATTTTTAAACTTACCAGTTGTGTATGCGTGTGCGCGCCTGGGTACATATCTCAATGCACCCATCTCTTACTTGCAAGTCACTTTCACCCTTAGGTAGAAAGTGAGCTATCTTATAGCATTACTAATTACATTAAGTGAGATAATGCACTCAGCCTGGCTTCGCTAAATGCTCGATAAGTGGTAGCCACTATTAATATGAACTGGAAACAAATACTTATATAATGATCTCAAATTAACTGGAACCAAGTTGACTAGAAGGGGATTTACTAGTGTACTTTTAAAGGAAAGCAGGAAGAGCAGAAAAAATGTCCCTATCAGAAATGCAAAGCAACCTCCAGGCAAAGGTCACCTCACGTGCTGTCAGCCCCTTACACCTCACAGGCCTAGGCAATGAAAATTCACGTTGCTTCAGCTGTCAAACAAATTATTAGATTCAACTTGAAATCACAGAAACTGAGAGCTGGAAAGAACCTTATACATAGGGAAGCCGTAGAATGTGCGGTCCACAGGGAGCTCTGTAAAGTGGACGTGGCCTTGGTGACAGCTGCCCTGGCGCAGCGGGTATGAACCGGGGCTGCCCGCGGCCGCCCCACTCCAGGTCCTCTACTCCAGCTCTGAGGCCTTCCCGTTGGGTGACCTGAGGTCCGAAACTACACACTGCTGACAGACAAGCCACAGTATGACTTTTCACCACACCACACTCAGTTCTTTGCAGTCCTTCTACCTCTTGCTAAAGTCGTTTTCAAGTGTCTCACTTTTGCTGGAAAGGAAAGGGTAAAGGACGAGCTGCAGAGTCGGAGGGAGCCCTGGACACAGCCTGGCCCGCGTCCTGGCCGCCGCTCGCTCCCTGTGAGGCCACAGGAAAGCTCTTTCAGCCCCTGAGCTCTGTTTTGCTCAGCTGCAAAATGGCTACAAAGCTTAAATGAATATACAAAAGATCTGGCGTATGTCAGGCACTCAGTGAAAGGTAGTTCCATTCCACTCCCTAATCCTTCGTCCATGGAACCTAGGCCATATTTAGGAAAACATTTTCAATGCATTCAAAGGAGTCTGATACAATTTAATTACAGAATTCTTAGAATTCTTAGGAAAACAAGTCTGGATGCTATTAAACAATGAGCTGAAATTTGGCTTAAATCTTGACTAGGAAGATGCCTGCCAGAACACCTGGGATATCCATCATGGACTTCACATAAATGTGTTTTAGTAATGAGGAACTCCCACTTTTTTCCTGTTTGCTGTCTTTCTTAGCAAGTTATTAAGTTAAAGGTCACCTATTAGAAGGCTATCTATTTCTGGTAGGTCCCTGAAACAAAATGCAGCAGATGATTGGGAAAACCTTAATGCTATGGAGCTACTGTACTCCCTGAGGTTCATTTTACATTCATTCATTCAAATCGTCAGCAAACACTGATTATGACTTAAGCATTAGAGATACAAAGATACACATTATGCAACAGGGAAGTACTAGTCCTAGAACCAAGGGTATATGTTTAAATTCTAGATCCAACAAGAGCTTCAGCCAGTAGGCACAACCCCCACTCTATTACTGATTCTGGAATGTTCCTAAGGACTGGCACAAGGCTCTTGGGTTGTCTAAATGCATGAAAGGAAACTGCCCCGGTATTACTCTTGGAACAAAGGCATGGATAGGTTCCAAATGGGGCCACTACGGAATAAATAGAAAAACATCAAATTCAGTAGTGAAAACACAATTTTATACCATCAACACTCTAATTTACTTCTGTAGATGACAACACTAACATACTGTCTTTATTCTTCATCTGACCACCACCAATTACTGATCACCTACAATGTACTACAAATTGTGCTAAGGTCTTTGCACATATTATTGCATATGTTATTGTTAATCTTTGTGACTTTACACAGGGAGAAATCGAAGCCTAAGTGGATTAGAAA